TAAACATGCCCAGCTCCTTAAGCCGCTCCTCATAGGGCTTGTTCTCCAGACCCTTGATCATTTGAGTCGCCCTCCTCTGGACACATTCCAGCTTGTCAATATCTCTCTTGAATTGTGGTGCCCAGAATTGGACACAATATTCCTAAGACCATCAGAAAACATATATTTCTGGTGGTCTTAGGAACCGCTTTGACAGAGAACAGACAGCAAATCCTCCCATCAAAAGCCCTCTTCTGCTGTGACTGATTGGCCTCTCAGCCAAGGGGAGGGCTGTTCCTGAGACTCCAAGTGGGAAGGAGAGAGCAGGCGTGCTCAGAGCATGGCAGTGTGGAGGGCATGCGCAGGCAGGGGAGAGCATGCGAGGCTGGAGGAAGGCTCATGCCAGCGAGTCCCTTCAAGGAATGGGAGTTCTGTAGGGGAAGTTTAGCCCCATTCTATCATTGGTGGGATTCAGAATGCTCTTTGATTGTTGGTGAACTATAAATCCCAACAACTACAACTCCCAAATATCAAGGTCCCCAAATTCCACCACACCTGGGCAAATTGAGTATCCGTGACAAGTTTGGTTCAGCTCCATCATTGTTTGAGTCCACAGTGCTCTCTGGACGTAAGTGAAGTACAACTCCCAAACTCAAGGTCAATGCCCACCAAACCCTTTCGGTATTTTCTGTTGGTTGTGGGAGTTCTGGAGTATTCAAATTTGGGTGTATCGAGTATTTGTGCCAAATTTGGTCCAGTGAATGGAAATACATCCTGCCTTTCAGATGTTTACATGACCATTCATAACAGTAGCCAAATTGCAGTTATGAAGTAGCAATGAAAATAATGTTATGGTTGGGGGTCACCACCACATGAGGACCTGTATTAAGGGGTCGCGGCATTAGGAAGGCTGAGAAACACTGTTCTAAATGAATGTATGGATAATGCTACTACTATTGTCTGATCCTGCAAGATTTCTTGAAAGTGTGCATAATGACAATAATAATAATGATGCTGCTGATAGGTATTGTGGGAGTTGAAGTCCAAAACAACTGAAGGGCCAAAGTTTGCCCAGGCTTGATCTACACTGTAGAATTAATCCAGATTCTACCGCTTTAACTGCCATTGCTCAATATGATAGCATTCTGAGAATTAGTCATACAAGGTCTTTAGATCTCTCTGCCGATGCCGTACCAAGCCACAACGCTTGGCGAGGCACATTATTAATAAGTCTGATGCGATATCATTAATAAGTTTCTATTAATAATTATAATAAATAATGTATAATCAATTATAATCAATAATTATAATTGATGCAATATTATTAATATGTCTGATGCAGCAAGACTTTTGGAAAGTGTTAGAAAAATAAAAGCATTATGCATGTATGCATTCTATGTATTGCACATCCATGCGACGGTGCCAGAGTGGCACCGTCGCTGGCCACAACACCTTGGAGGTGTCTATGGACAACACCGGCTCTTCAATCCAATGCATGAAGTAAATGCTATTCACTAATATCTAATTAGCAGTGACAAACTACAAATCCATTATTAATTATAATATTAATTAATTAATACATTATAACCAATAATTATAATTGATGCAATATTATTGATATGTCTGATGCAGCAAGACTTTTGGAAAGTGTTAGAAAAATAAGAGCATTATGCATGTATGCATTCTGTGAATTGCACATCCATGCGACTGTGCCAGAGCAGGGAAGCAAACTACAAATCCAATAATAATAATAATAATAATAATAATAATAATAATAATAATAATAATAATAATAATAAATGAATTAATAATACATTATAATCAATAATTATAATTGATGCAATATTATTGATATGTCTGATGCAGCAAGGCTTTTGGAAAGTGTTAGAAAAATAAGAGCATTGTGTATGTTAATAATATAATGTAATATAATATACTGTATATACATATAATATTTATAATATTATAATGTAATGTAATGCAATATAATACTACTACTAATATGATATTATAATATATTTATATTACATGTAATATTACTAATAATAGTAATATTTAATACTGATATTGTACTATGCTAATAATATAATGTACTGTATGTATATATATCTTGTAAGCTGCTCTGAGTCCCTTTCGGGGTGAGAAGGGCGGCATATAAATGTTGTAAATAAATAAAAAAAATATGCATGCATTCTATGTGTTGCACATCTGTGCGACGGTGCCAAAGCAGGGAGGCAAACTACAAATCCATTATTAATTATTATAATAATTAATTAATAATCCATTATAATCAATAATTATAATTGATGCAATATTATTAACACGTCTGATGCAGAAAGACTTCTGGAAAGTGTTAGAAAAATAAGAGCATTATGCATGCATGCATTCTATGTGTTGCACATCCATGCGACGGTGCCAAAGCAGGGAGGCAAACTACAAATCCATTATAATCAATAATTATAATTGATGCAATATTATCAATACGTCAGATGCAGCAAGACTTCTGGAAAGTGTTAGAAAAATAAGAGCATAGTGTATGCATGCATTCTATGTATCGCACATCCACGCGACGGTGCCAAAGCAAGGAGGCAAACTACAAATCTATTATCAATTATAATAATTAATAATATATTATAATCAATAATTATAATTGTTGCAATGTTATTAATACGTCTGATACAGCAAGACTTCTGGAAAGTGTTAGAAAAATAAGAGCATTATGGGTGCATGCATTTTATGTGTTGCACATCCGTGCGATGGTGCCAAAGCAGGGAGGCAAACTACAAATCCCCTTTTTTTGCAAAAATAGCAAGGTTTGGGTTGCTGGCTCTTTGGGAAGAGGCCTGAGGGCCTATTTCCCCCCTTCCGTCCTTCCTTCTTTCCTTTCTTCTCCTCTCCTTGCCCCCCTTTTGCCACATCAGAGCTGCTCAAATTTGACATACAGCAGGGGAAAAAAAGCAAAGCAAAGAAAAAGCAACCCGGCTGACTCTGCTACAAATCAAAGGCCTGTCATAAAAGTATTCCAAATTTCAAAACCATTCCAAAATAACTCTGCCGCCGCTGCCATTGAGGCACAAATGGAAGCCAGATGTTTGCAGGGCGGAAAAAGCGCCGGATTGGGTTTCAGGAGAGGGCTTGTTAAACTAAAAAACATACATACGCACGCCGGCAAGGCTTCTCTTTCTCTTCCTTCCCTTCTCCCCTCCGTGGAGCTTTCCCTGGGTCCGAAAGGATTCGGTTCTCATGTTCCCCGTAGCCTTCACAAGGACGGGAGATGTAGTTTCCAAAGGATTTGCAAAATGGGGGTGTTGGGGTTGACAACCTCATAAAAACACATGGCCCCATCTGTCCAATGTTGCAAAAGTTTGCCACCAGTACAGTCTACAGAGTCCTGGGATTTGTAGTTTGACAAGCAGAGAAGGCAACAGGCTCTTGGCATTCTATAACTCCAGTCTATTTAATCCTGGGATTTGTAGTTTGACAAGCAGAGAAAGCAATAGGCCCCTGACCTGCTGTGGTTTCAGTCTATGGAGTCCTGGGATTTGTAGTTTGACAAGCAGAGAAAGCAATAGGCTCTTGGCCTTCTATAACTCCAGTCTATTTAATCCTGGGATTTGTTGTTTAATAAGCAGAGAAGGCAGTAGGCTTGTAACCTGCTATGTTTCCAATCTAAGGAGTCCTGGGATTAGTAGTTTGACAGGCAGAGAAGGCAATAAGTTCTTGGCCTGTGATAGTTCCAGTCTACAGAGTCCTGGGATTTGTAGTTTGACAGGCAGAGAAGGCAATAGGCTCCTGGCCTGCTATGAATGCAGTCTACAGAGTCTTGGAAATTGTAGTTTGACAACTAGAAAAGGCAATAGGCTCCCGACCTGCTATGACTCCAGTCTACGGAGTCCTGAGATTTGTAGTTTCACAAGCAGAGAAGGCAACAGGCTCCTTGCCTGCTTTGGTTCCAGTCTATAGAGTCTTGGAAATTGTAGTCCACCACTCTTGGGCAGAGAAGGCAATAAACTGCCAGTCTGGCATGGTTCCAGTCCATGGAGTCCTGGGATGTGTAGTTTGGCCCTTTTTCAAGGGCAGAGAAGACCTTGCAGAATTACAACTCCCAGGATGGTACCACACAGAGCTAGGACATTCACCTGTGTAGAGATGGTTCTGTGCCATCCATTCTCTAGCATAGCCTGCTTTAAAGTTTGGACTAGAACCCAGGGCGGATTGTCTGTTGGGCCCACAAAGAAAGGAGCAGCTTATGGTATGTGTGTGTGTGTGTGTGTGTGTGTGTGTGTGTGTGTGTGTGTGTATAGAAAACATACTTATTTTTGGATCCACAAGTCACTGGTATCCAGAAACGTTGGCAATTCAGTTATGCACAATAGCGCTATTCAACATTACGGGATCATAACAGTTTTTAAGTGATTTTAATTGACTGGCATATTTGTATTTTAATTTTAATATGTTTTGTTGGGGTTTGGGGACTTGTTTTAACGTTGTGTGACACGGTACTACTTGGCCAAGGGAATATGAATAAATACTAATAGCATCAATAGCGCTATTCAACATTACGGGATTGTAACTCAGTGATAACCAGTGTTATCTCTTCTCCTGAAAATGGCAACAAAGCGATATTTGGTTGTGGCAAGTGTGCCGAAAATAGAACATTCACCACATTGTGATGCCGATGTTGCGATATTACGGTACTCCCAACAATGTGTTTTCGCAATATCACGATGAAAAATAAACTCAGTGATAACCCAGCATTATCTCATCTCCTGAAAATGACACCAAAGCACCATTCGGTTGTGGCAGATGTGCTGGATATAGTACTTTCGCCACATTGCAAGTGCGCTGTTGCAATATTACGACATTCCCAACAATGTGTTTTCGCAATATTACGATGAAAGGATGAATGTGGGATTTTGGAGCAGCTTTTAGGATGGCAGGTGGGTTTGGGATTTGCAAGGTGCGCAAATATGTTCCTCGATTTTTTATGGTAATTTTGTTTATTTTCTCCTCAAAAATAGGTGACAGCTTGAGTCCGAGCCGCAGTTCAGGGAAGAGGAAGAAGAAGCAGCGGCGAAATCGCACCACGTTCAACAGCAGCCAGCTCCAGGCCCTGGAGAGGGTCTTCGAAAGGACGCATTACCCGGACGCCTTCGTGCGTGAGGAGCTGGCGCGGCGGGTGAGCCTCAGCGAGGCACGGGTGCAGGTGAGCACAGATCAGGGGCCCATGATCGATCCATCGATCGATGCCGCTTTTCCTCTCGCTGTTAGAGACCCTAAATTGGGTCTTCTTAGATCCACATCATTGGAACACGTAAGGAAGGAGACAGTCCCAAAAAATATCAAAAAACAAGGTTTATTTTAGTTTCTTCATGAAGAAGACAAACAGCCTGGCAGCATATGCAGATGCTACCCTTCAAGTGACTGCCGCGCCCCTCCTCTTTTTCTGCTGACTTTTATACTCGAGTAATAGGTCATGGAAAGTACTCTCTTTCCAGCCCCTCTGCCTTGACCTTTTGATGGAAAGTACCTTCTTGTACCTGCAGACTCTGCGCTTAACCACAACCTTTGAGCTTAACCACAACACAACTACTTCCTATGTAGGCTTGAACTTTGTATGACTTCGACATGTCACATCTTGTTTCTTAAAAACATTTTCTTCCATGTTGCTCCTTTTCTACAGAGAAAGGGCATGTTTCTCTTTTGCTGTTAATTTCATTCAAAGCCCTTTGCTTAGCATTTGCAAATTTCACTAAAAGACCCTTTCATCGCAACAAGGACAAATGTAAGATATGACACTTCGAACAAAATGAAATGCAGAGATACGGGATGGGCAATCCCTGGCTCGACAACAGTCCACATGAGAAAGATCTTGGGAGTCTTTGTGGAGACCACATTGAACATGAGCCCAGAGTGTGAAGCAGCAGCTTAAAAAGCCAATGGGATTTTGGGCTGCATCCAAAGAAGTCTTGTGTCTAGATCAGCCCATTGGACTGGATGGCCTTCAGGGATCCCTTCCAACTCTAGGTTTCTATCTCTAGTCCTATTTCCCAAGCACCTTAAAATGTCTGTGAGGTTGGATGTCCGTCTCTCGGGAGGGATTGGGTTGTGCTTTTCTATAGCCCTATTTCTCATGCACCTTATAATGTGCAACCCCCTTCTGCCATAAAGGATTAGGATTCTATAGCTCTCCTTCTTGTGAACCATCCAGGAATACTTTGTGCTTTTCCTACATGGCATGGGTTGAACTAGATGGTCATGTGGTCACTTCCAACTCTATGATTCCTTGACTCGTGAAATTTTCCTCCTTTCCCAAAAAATTGCACATTTTCTCCTCTCCTGAATAATGTGCAATTGCGCCATTGCGCAATAGCGCTCTTTGGCTTTAAGGGATTAAAAACCCATTGATAACCCAAACTTTTAAAAAATGGCATGAGAGCACTATTAAAAATTGCATATTTTCCTCCTCTCCCGTATAATTTGCAACTGCGCAATTGCACTCTTCGGCTTTACGGGATTAAAAACCCACTGATAACCCAAACTTTAAAAAAATGGAATGAGAGCACTCTTAAAAATTGCACATTTTTCTCCTCTCCCAAAAACTTTGCAATTGCGCTTTTCCACAACAGCAGTCTTCGGCTTTATGGATTTAAAAACCCACTGATAACCTTTCAAAAATGGCATGAGAGCACACTTAAAAACTGCACATTTTCCTCCTCTCCTGAAAACTTTGCAATAGCGCAATAGCGCTCTTCAGCTTTATGGGATTAAAAACCCACTGATAACCCAAACTTTTAAAAACTAGCATGAGAGCACTCTTAAAAATTGCACATTTTTCTCCTCTCCCAAAAACTTTGCAACCACGCTATTCCACAACAGCACTCTTCGGCTTTATGGGATTAAAAACTCATTGATAACCTTTCAAAAATGGCATGAAAGCACTATTAAAAATTACACATTTTTCTCCTCTCCTGAAAACTTTGCAATTGCTCAAATTCGCAATAACGCAATTAAAGACCAACGGATAAACCAGTCTTTCAAAAACGGCACTATTTGGTGTTACTGGACCACATCTCAGAGGGTTGAACCCCATTGCAAATACAGCTTTATCGGCAGTCCCCCAAACTGTGAAATAGCGCAATTTGGCTTTGCGGGATCATAACTCAGATGGCGTAACACTTCTGAAAGCCCAGATTTTCTGAAAATGGCGTAATAGCATGATTCGATCTTTGGGGTTTGTAAATCAAATGGTTTAAAGAAAACTATTGAAAATGCAGTGTTATTTTCCTTCTCCTGAAAAGGCGCACTAGAGGTATTTCGGCGTTACGGGATCATGACTCCGATGCCTTGAATCCAACTTGTGTCTTACCTGAATTGTAACTCAATTGAATCATAACTCAAGTGGCTTAAAGCTTTCCCTTCCTGATATTTGAGCAATCACACTATCAGGACTTGTGGAATCCTCTCGCAGTCTTAAGTATTGGAATTGCAGGATTTTTTATATGCGGAAGCAAGCTGGCTGTATAATATTATTGTTGTTTTGATAATCACAGAAGACGGCAGCTTTATGTATAGTTTCTTTTTCTCTCTCCCTCCCAGGTTTGGTTCCAGAACCGAAGGGCCAAGTTCCGGCGCAACGAGCGGGCCATGCTGGCCAACCGGTCGGCCTCCCTCCTCAAGTCCTACAACCAAGACGCAGCCATAGAGCAGCCCATGGCTCCCCGGCCCACCACCCTCGGCCCTGACTATCTTTCCTGGTCCACCAACTCTCCATACAGGTAGGTCCCGGCCTCCTCTTCTTCCAGCCCCCTTGGGCAGAGGAAGCTCAAGGCCATCCAAAACTACAACTCCTGGGATCCCATAGCATTGAACCATGGCGGTGAAAGTGGCGCAAAACTGCATATCTATACACACTTCCAAAGGACTGAACGCCCTTTGGAGGTCTCTTCTAATGCTTTCCTTCCAGTTCCACCACAGACTCCTCCCCTGAGCTGTTATTTGCCTTCATCTCCTCTTATTCTTCCTATTCCTCCTCTGGCCTTGGATTTCAGCTCTGTGTTGCCAGTGGCCGTTGCTGCTTCCTCTTCTGTCTTCCACTTCCTCCCCTTCCCTTCCTCTGCTTCTTACTCTTGCTTTTCCTCCCCTTCCTCTTCTGCTTTTTTCCCCTTCCTCTTCCTTTCTGTTCCACTTCTTTCTCCCCTTTCTCTTTCTTCCCTTCCCTTCCCCCTTCTTCCTCTTCTTCCCCTTCCTCTTCTTCCTTTTCCTCCCTTTCCTCTTCCACTTCTTCCTCTTCCTACACTTTGGCTTCTGCTTCTTCCTCTTCCTCCCCTTTCTCTTCCACGTCTTCCTTTTCCTCCCCTTCCTCTTCTGCGTCTTCCCATTCTTTTTCCTCTTCCCTTCCTCTTCTGCTTCCTCTTCCTTCTCTTCCTCACCTGTTCTGCATCTTCCCCTTCCTCCCCTTCCTGTTCCACTTCTTCCTATTTCTCCCCTTCTTCTTCCTCTTCTGCTCCTTGCCTTCTCCCCTGCCCTTCCTTTCTTTTCCTCATCATCCCCTTCCACTTTCCACTTCTTTCCCTTCCTCCTCTTCTTTCCTTCCTCTTCTGCTTCTTCCTCTTCCCTCCTTTTCTTCTTCCTTCCTTTCCTCCTCATCCTCCTTTTTCTCGTCCTCCTTCTTCTCCTTTTTCTCTGGTGTGGCCAATACATTTCCTCCAAGCAGCTGCTAGGGAGACTGTATTTCTGGAGTGGGGGGGGGGGTGTGTGTGTGTGCAGCACTTTTCATGTGGCACCCCTGTGGCTTGTGCATCCCGACACTGCGTTTGGAAGGCTGTGCAGTGGAGTCCTGGCAGCTCACCCTGTCTTCCTTCCCTTCTGTCTCGCTCTCGCAGCAACACGGTGCCCTCCTACAGCTCCAGCCCCTCTGCCGCCCCTCCGGCCCAAGGGGTCAACATGGCCAACAGCATCGCCAGCCTCCGCCTCAAAGCCAAAGAGTTCAGCCTCCATCAGAACCAGGTGCCCACCGTGAACTGAGAGAGTGGGGATGCCCCGGATCACCAACCCGACACTCCCCGCCCCAAAAAAGACCTCCGACGGACCTTCTGAAACTGCAGATTTAGCACTCCTTTTCATGAAACATCTCTACCAATTCATTTGGGGATATTTGCAACTTTTTCCGGCCCTACTTTGGAACTAGGGAGCAGGAGTTCTCCCATTTTCAGCCTCTGGACATTTTAGACTACAACTCCCAGCATTCTTGGCCAGGGCAGAATTCTAAGTGCCACACCACTCTAAGAATCCCAGGATTGTGATCACACAGCAAGCTCTTCTTTATGGGGTTTCCCATCCACGATGATGGCGCCAAAATGCGAACTCCAGAGACATGCTTTGCAAAGATGGGCAGCTGCAGACGGGCAAAATGGTGCACTGGGTGCAAATCCAGGAACATACTGGTGCATTACAGAACACTGCAGCATGCTGCTGTTGCGCTATGGTGCCTCACACAGTCATAACAACATGATGCCTCCCTTGGTTATTTCACTACAGTGCATCACTCAATCATTGCAACATGATGCAGCCGTCTGTTATTGCAGTACAGTGAAATACTCAATCATTGCAACACAGTGCAGCATGGTGTTATTGCACTATGGTGCATTACTCCATCATTGCAACATGGTGCAGCCCTGTGTTATTGTACTATTGTGAAATACTCAAATCGTTGCAACATGGCACAGCCCTGTGTTATTGCACAGCATTGCATCACTCAGTCATTGCAACATGGTACCTCCCTTTGTTATTGCACAAGAGTGCATCCCCCAATCATCGCAACATCATGCAGCCCTGTGTTATTTCACAGGAATGCATCCCTCAATCATTGAAACATGGCGTAATCCTGTGTTATTTCACTGCATGGCATCACTCAATCACTGCAACACCATCCCTCCCTTGGTTATTTCACAGGAGTGCATCCCTCAATCATTGCAACATGGTGCAGCCCTGTGTAATTGCATTACAGTGCATCACTCAATCATTGCAACATGATGAAGCCCTGTGTTATTGTATTATTGTGCATCACTCAATCACTGCAACATGGCACTTCACATTGCTATTGCGCTGTCGTGCATCAATCAGTCATTGTGTTATGATGCACTGCTCTGACATTGTGACATAGTCAACAGCTCGGCTGCCATTGTGCTATGATGTATCAACTCACCATTGCAAAATGGCACACTATTGCACAAATCTCCTCTGATTCGTTTCTTTGGGCCCTGGAAAGACTCCCCACCACCACCACCAAAACCCTCTGTACTTTGAACTACAAATCTCTTTTGAAAAGACAATGGAGCTTGGGAAGACAGAGGAGACGGGGACCTGGATCCCAACAGAACCACATCAGGAAACGGATCTGGAAATCCCTGCCAAGAGATGACCCAAGAACTGCAAGAACGGTCAATTGTAAACCAGATTGACGCACAATAGGTCTGCAGCATCTGCGACAAGGGACGCTTTCCCCAGCTGCAGGCATGCCTCTATCCAAGGCTTGTCTTCAGAGCCAAAACAATAGGGATTGCATTTTGATTGCCCCATAAATGCGACCTGGACCTCTGCCTGATTTGGGGAAAAATATGTGATAATGACAGGCTTCCCAAGGGCCGGAATGATGTGCTGTATCGGGAGTCCAAGGAGCGTAGAGTTGGAAGGGGCCCCAAAAGGTCATCTAGTCCAATCTCACGCAAAAATAGTATTATTTTAGAAGGTGATGCCAACGTCCCCCAAACAGTCTAGATCAGGTATGAGCAAACTTGGGCCCTCCAAGTCCTTTGGACTACAACTCCCACCATTCCTAACAGCCTCAGGCCCCTTAAGCGGCTGAGCAGGAAAAGGAAGGGGTTTGAGGCTGTTAGGAATGGTGGGAGTTGTAGTCCAAAGCACCTGGAAGGCCCAAGTTTACCCATACCTACTCTAGAAGCATTAATTGAGATGGGGGGATATCTGTAGGGTCCTCAAAACCACTGGTTTTTGCACACCCACTTGTGCCTTGCATGCCCACATCACAAGTGCCTTTCCTGATCAGAAAAAGAGAATATTTCCTATTTTTTTGGGATTGTTTCGAAGGGTAAAAAATTCAGAGGAAGTGGACTGTCCTTCCTGCTCACTCAGGTTGCATCTACACTGCGGAATCAATGCAGTTTCATACCGCATGGCTCAATGGAACTGGTGTTGCAGCTTCCAAAGGCCTCGAAGCCTCTTTTTGCTGCCTCCCGTGAGCTCTCAAATTATGGTTTTAAACTGTGTTAACTCCACAGTGTAGATGCATCCTCGCCATTTCGTTCTGCGTTCAGTCAATCCGATGTTTTATCTCTTTCAATCCCACATTACACTTGTATTTAAAGACGTGTTTCGAAGCGTGCGCTTCCTTCCCCTTAACCCCTCCGAGAAGGCATACCTCTGAATGTATTTTCTCCCCAAAATACATATTTTGTTTTGGTTTTGAAACACAGTTTGTTTGGTGTCTGTTTGTATAGAGTGATGCTGGAGGATCCCAATAGAAATTGCAGTGGGAGACGCCTTATCATGGGTTACCACTAGGTGGCAGTGGCGCACCACTGAAAAGTTTGCCTACAGAGAATGCCTCTTCCGCCTTACCATGGGTTACCACTAGGTGGCAGTGGCGCACCACTGAAAACACACTGAAAAGTTTGTCCAAGTTTGTATGAAAACTGGCCAAATCAAGGCCAAGAAACACATTTCACAGAGATAAATGGAGAAAGAGAGACAGAACGAAAGAGAGAAGATAGGGTTAGATATGCTAGAGAGAGAGGGGACAGACAGGTAAGTAAACATAGAGACCTAGGGAGAAGAAATTGGATTGAGAGAGAGAAGCAAGGGAGAAAAGAGAGGCAGGCGATAGCTACGAGGGGCGTTCATTAAAGATTTCCCCTGACCCACTTCTCTTTATCACAGGATGCTGAAACTGCACATGTGAAATGATATAGGTCTCTATAGGTTACGTGCCAATGTACAACTCAGAGATGGGAACGGTCTTGATTGTACAGGTGCGGAAGTGGAGTGAGGTTCGATAATGGACCCAGTGGAATACAGAGAATACAGAACAGTCCTCGAGATAGAGATAATACAGACAAAGGGATAGACAAGTGAGATAGAAAAGAAAGATGGATAGATGGATAGACAGAGATAGATGGATGGATGTATAGATAGACAGGCTACAGATAAAGAGATAGACAGGAGAGACAGAAAATATAGAAAGATGGATAGATGGAGGAATTGATGGATAGATAAATAGATGGATAGAGGGATGGATGGATAGATAGATAGATAGAGACGATATAGAAAAAGGGATAAACAAATGAGATAGAAAAGAGAGATGGGTGAATAAATAAATAGATAAATAGACAGATAGATAGATAATAGATAAAGTGATAGCMAAGAGGTAGAAAAGAGATGGATGGATAGATAGACAGATAAATAAATGGATGGATAGATAGATGGATGGACAGACAGACATGATATAGAAAAAGGGATAAACAAATGAGATAGAAACGAGAGATGGATGAATAAATAGAAAGATAGATAAACAGATAGATAGATAATAAAGTGATAGCCAAGAGATAGAAAAGAGATGGATGGATGGATAGATAGATAGATAAATAGATGGACAGACAGACATGATATAGAAAAAGGGATAAACGAATGAGATAGAAACAAGAGATGGATGAATAAATAAATAGATAAACAGATAGATAGATAATAGATAAAATGATAGCTAAGAGGTAGAAAAGAGATGGATAGATGGATAGATAAATGGATGGAGAGAGAGAGAGATGGATGGACGGATRGATGGRTAGACAGATATGATATAGAAAAAGGGATAAGCAAATGARATAGAATATAGAGAGATGGATGAATAGATAGATAGATAGACAGACAGACAGACAGAYAGATAGATAATAAAGAGATAGCCAAGAGATAGAAAAGAGATGGATGGATGGATGGATGGATGGATGGACAGACATGATATAGAAAAAGGGATAAACGAATGAGATAGAAACAAGAGATGGATGAATAAATAGACAGATAAACAGATAGATAGATAGATAGATAGATAGATAGATAGATAGATAGATAGAGTGATAGCCAAGAGATAGAAAAGAGATGGATAGGTGGATAGATAGATAGATAAATGGATGGATGGATAGACGGATGGACGGATAGACAGACAGACAGACAGAGATGATATAGAAAAGGGGATAAACAAATGAGAGAAAATATAGAGATAGATAGATAGATAGATAGATAGATAGATCGATAATTGACAGATAGACAGACAGATAGATAAAGTGATAGCCAAGAGATAGAAAAAAGATGGAATGGATGGATAAATAGACAGAGATGGATAGATATAACAGATGTAGATAAAGGGATTTTTTTTTTTTGTCGTGTCAGGAGTGACCTGAGAAACTGCAAGTCGCTTCTGGTGTGAGAGAATTGGCCGTCTGCAAGGATGTTGCCCAGGGGACACCCGGATGATCTGATGTTTTTATCATCCTTGTGGGAGGCTTCTCTCATGTCCCCGCATGAGGAGCTGGAGCTGATAGAGGGAGCTCATCCGCCTCTCCCCGGATTTGAACTTGCAACCCACTGTGCCACCAGGGGCTCTGGATAAAGGGATAGACACATGAGATAGAAAAAAGATGGGATGGATAGACAAAAGAGAGATAGATTCTTTCCCACTCACTGACATCAAGCCACAGAGAGCCTGAATCCACACCCTGAGTGTGTCCCCATCCACAAGGCATTTTGGTTTTATTGAGGAGGAATCCACTTGTCCTTGAGGCCTCCCACGCAATCCCATGGCGGTGTGGGGTATATATATATACAGGATGGTGCCAAAGGAGAGGGCTGTGCAAAGTCCAGGGGCAGGCGGGCAGGGGTGGGGGGTATCATGGCTCGCGACGGAATCCGGCGAGGAGGATCTGGAGGGCCATGGAGAGGCAGGAGACCTGGGCAGCCACGTAGGCCACGGAGCGGAGGGGGGCCCGCAGGCGGAGCAGGTAGGCCACGGTGTGTGCCAGGCGCCCCAGGAAGAAGGCCAGGAAGTGGAGGCGGGCTAGAGTCGGGTCGGGGCCCAGGAAGGAGTAGGCGGCCCCCAGAAAGAGGAAGGGTGGGATGTTCTCCATGTCGTTGCGGTGGGCCCTGGAGGCGTGCATGCGTGGGGAGAGAACACAAAGGGTCATTCCAGGACAATGCAACAGGTCACAAGGACGAAATATTTCATAAGGACATAATAATAATATTATAATATTGCAATCCATTATTATAATAGATTGCAATAACATAAGACATCGCAATGAAGGAAGACATCATGATGGCATAATGGACTGCAATATTGTAATATTATGTTTATAATAGATTGCAAGGACGCAATACATTGCAATGGCATAATAGATTGCAATGTTGTGTTAGCATTATATTTATAATAGTTTGCAACGATGGAAGACATTGCAATGGCATAATGGATTACAAAGTTGCAATATTATGTTTATAATAGATTGCAATGATGGAAGACATTGCAATGGCATAATGGATTACAATCTTTCAATATTATGTTTATAATAGATCGCAATGACGCAATACATTGCAATGGCATAATAGATTGCAATGTTGTGTTATCAATATATTTATAATAGATTGCAACGATGGAAGACATTGCAATGGCGTAATGGATTACAAAGTTGCAATATTATGTTTATAATAGATCGCAATGACGCAATACATTGCAATGGCATAATAGATTGCAATGTTGTGTTATCAATATATTTATAATAGATTGCAATGATGGAAGACATTGCAATGGCATAATGGATTACAAAGTTGCAATATTATGTTTATAATAGATTGCAATGATGGAAGACATTGCAATGGCATAATGGATTACAAAGTTGCAATATTATGTTTATAATAGATCGCAATGACGCAATACATTGCAATGGCATAATAGATTGCAATGTTGTGTTATCAATATATTTATAATAGATTGCAATGATGGAAGACATTGCAATGGCATAATGGATTACAATGTTTCAATATTATGTTTATAATAGATCGCAATGACACAATATATTGCAATGGCATAATAGATTGCAATGTTGTGTTATCATTATATGTATAATAGATTGCAATGATGGAAGACATTGCAATGGCATAATGGATTACAATATTTCAATATTATGTTTATAATAGATCGCAATGACACAATACATTGCAATGGCATAATAGATTGCAATGTTGTGTTATCAATATATTTATAATAGATTGCAATGATGGAAGACATTGCAATGGCATAATGGATTACAATGTTTCAATATTATGTTTATAATAGATCGCAATGACACAATATATTGCAATGGCATAATAGATTGCAATGTTGTGTTATCATTATATTTATAATAGATTGCAATGATGGAAGACATTGCAATGGCATAATGGATTACAATGTTGTGTTATCATAGTTATAATAGATTGCAATGATGGAAGACATTGCAATGGCGTAATGGATTGCAATGTTTTAATATTATTATTATAATAGATCGCAATGACACAATACATTGCAATGGCATAATAGATTGCAATGTTGTGATAATTATATTTATCATAGATTGCAATGATGGAAGACATTGCAATGGCATAATGGATTGCAATGTTGTAATATTATGTTTATAATAGATCGCAATGATGCAATACATTGCAATGGCATAATGGATTACAATGTTGCAATACTATTATGTTTATAGTAGATCGCAATGACACAATACATTGCAATGGCATAATGGATTGCAATGTTGTAATATTATTACTTTTTTAAATAATAGATTGCAATGATGTAACAGATCACAACGACATAACGGATTGCAATGTTGTATTATTATATTATGTTTATAATAGATAGCAATGACGTAACAGTTATGCACTCCATTATGCCATAGAGATTTATTGCTTCATTGCGACCTATTGAAAGAATGGAGAAGATTGCAACAACGCAATGTATCACAATGATGTTTTAGGTCAGAATGACACAATAGGTTGCCGTGACATAATAGGTGACAATGATGTAATAGTTCTCGATGACATAACAGATGTCAACAATGGAATAGAACAGAATGATGTGCTCCATTATGCCATAGCAACGTATTGGGTCACTGTGATCTATTGAAACGACAGAAGATAATGACAACGCAATATATCATAATGACACAACACTGCAATTCTGTAATGGATCACAATGACAGAACAGACTGCAATGATGCCATAGATCGCAATGGAATAGACCAATACGATGCGCTCTGTTATGCCATAACAATTTATTGCATCGCTGCAATCTATTTCTGTCATTGCAATGTACTATAGATGGAAACTAGGTTGTCATGACATAATAGGTTGCAACAATGGGATAGATTGCAATGATGTAATTGATCACAAGGATGGAATAGATCGCAATGATAACAATATATCACAATTATGTAAGAAATCGCAGCAATGGAATAGATTGCAAAGATGCCATAGACTGCAATGATGTAACCAACTCCAATAACAGAATAGACCAGTGATGCACTCTATGGAAACAATGAAAGAGATCACAACAACGCAATATATCGCAACAATGCTATAGATTGAAACAGCTAAATCAATCACAGTGATGTAATAATATTGCAGTGGTGTAATAGATTGCAGTAATGGAATAGATTGCCATGATGCAATAGATCACAATAAATGGAACAGATACGTAGTAGATCGCGATGACATCATTGTTTATTATTTAAGAATAGTTTATTATTATTATTGATCCAATGATGTCATTGTTTATTTATTATTTGATAATAATAGTTTATTATAATTATTATTGATCTGATGACATCACTGATTGCAATGATGTCATTGTTTATTATTATTAGATAATAATAGTTTATGTATTGTCAAAGGCTTTCATGGCCGGAATCACTTGGTTGTTGTAGGTTTTTTCGAGCTATATGGCCATGTTCTAGAGGCATTCTCTCCTGGCGTTTCGCCTGCATCTATGGCAAGCAAACTCAGAGGTTGTGAGGTCTGTTGGAAATAGGAAAATGGGTTTATATATCTGTGGAATGACCAGGGTGGGACAAAGGACTCTTGTCTGTTGGAGCTAGGTGTGAATGTTTCAACTAACCACCTTGATTAGCATTTGATGGCCTGGCAGTGCCTGGGGCAATCTTTTGTTGAGAAGTGATTAGATGTCCCTGATTGTTTTCCCTCTGCTGTTTTACGGTCGTAATTTTAGAGTTTTTAATACTGGTAGCCAGATTTTGTTCATTTTCATGGTTTCCTCCTTTCTGTTGAAATTGTCCACATGCTTCACATCAGTTGAAACATTCACACCTAGCTCCAACAGACAAGTGTCCTTTGTCCCACCCTGATCATTCCATAGATATATAAACCCAACTGTTTCAACTGATGTGAAGCATGTGGACAATTTCAACAGAAAGGAGGAAACCATGAAAATGAACAAAATCTGGCTACCAGTATTAAAAAAACTCTAAAATTACAACAGCAAAACAACAGAGGGAAAACAATCTGGGACATCTAATCACCTCTCAACAAAAGATTGCCCCATGCACTGCCAGGCCATCAAATGCTAATCAAGGTGGTCAGTTGAAACATTCACACCTAGGTCCAGCAGACAAGAGACCTTTGTCCCACCCTGATCATTCCACAGATATATAAACCCATTTTCCTAGTTCCAACAGACCTCACTACCTCTGAGGATGCTTGCCATAGATGCAGGCGAAACGTCAGGAGAGAATGCCTCTAGAACATGGCCATACAGCCTGGAAAAACCTACAACAACCCATATTAATATTATATTATTAATTACATTATAATATTATATATACAAGATGACTCCAACAACCCATAATAGTTTATTATAATAATTATTATTGATCCGATGATGTCATTGATCACAATGTCATTGTTTATTGTTTATTTATTATTTGATAATAGTTTATTATTATTATTGATCCAATGTTGTCATTGATTGCGATGACGTCATTGATCGCAATGACATGATATACTGCAATACAATAGATCACAATTCTGTTAGAGATTGCAATAACAGAATGGATCACAACAGAAGGCCATGGAAGGGAAAGAAGGGAGTTTAAAAAATGTTGGAGATAGAGAGATGGTTATGTGAAATGTATAGAAGGAGAAGCGATGCAAAATCCAAAGCGTGATAGCAATTGCGTTTGAGACGGCAGCAGATCAAAGTCAGGCGTCTTAAGATATTTGCCGTGCAAAGAGCGAACCAAGCAAACATTTCTAAGATAAGTGGGAAAAGGAGTTCTTCTTGCATAGGTTTTAATGTGTTGATATAGCGAAACCCCCCTGAAAAATAGGTTGGAAAGGCGTGAGAGCAGCATGCAAGACCCAGCTGGCCCCAAACATGCCATTAATGCCAAAAGCATGCGCACGGATGGACACAAACAATCATTGCCACAGCAACATGCACACTTCCCTCCCTGTTTATGTCCAAGCGGACACCTTGGCCGTGTCCCAGAGCCGTTAATGGGAGTTTGCGTAAACAGGGGCGGCCCGCAAAACCCCCAAACCACTTCCTGCCCTCAATGTAAACCAGATCTGAGAAGGGAGAAAGCAGTATTTGTTTTGAAAAGCAGGGAGGAAAAAGGTTGCATTTCCCTGGGAATCGTCACCGGATACTTTCAGGCCGCTTAAGGGTTCAGAGGTGAAAACAGGGTCACGCATTGCCCAAAGTTCACCAGGAAGGAGGCTGCAGGGGTCTGCCTTTGCCGGAGCCAACTGGGAAGCATTCTCACACTTTTAAATTCCATTTGCAGCCATTGACATGAACCAAGTACAAAAGAGGAGGGGGGGGGAGGAACCAGGACGTTCTCAAAGCAGCCGGATAAGTGGGAAGGCAGAGGAGGAACTGGGTTAACTGGAGGACTGTCCCTATCAAACTGGGAAGACTCGCTGGAGAGTTGTCCTGGCCAAACTGGGATCGGACTATCAAACTGGGTTAACTAGAGGGTCGTTCCTGCCATCCTTGAGTGACTGGAGAATTGTCCCTATCAAATTGGGATAACTAATTGGAAGACCATCTGCACCATACTGGAATAACTGGATGGCCATTCATATCAAACTGGGATAACTAACTGGTGGGTTGCCCCTATCAAACTGGGATAACTGGAAGATCATCCCTGGCAAACTGGGATAACTAACTAGAGGATTACCCTGCCAGATTGGGATAACTGGAGGGCCATTCATATCAAACTGGGATAACTAGAGGGCAATGCCTATCACACTGGGATGACTAGTGGGCCATTCATACCACACTGGGATAACTGGAGGGCCCTTCATACCACATTGGTATAACTGGAGGGCTGTTCATACAATACTAGGGTAATTGGAGGGTCGCTCATACCATACTGGGGTAACTGGAGGGCCGTTCATATCATACTGGGGTAACTGGAGGGCTGTTCATACCACACTGGGGTAACTGGAGGGCTGTTCATACCACATTGGGATAACTGGAGGGCTGTTCATACCATACTGAGGTAACTGGAGGACCCTTCATATCATACTAGGGTAATGGGAGGACCGTTCATATCATATTGGGGTAACTGGAGGACCGTTCATACCATACTGGAATAACTGGAGGGTCATAACAATAATAATAATACTAATACTACTACTAATAATAATAATACAACTGGAGGGGACTCATTGGCTTGGATAAGGATGGACAATTGCACTGTAAACGTCATTTGCACCAAGGAGAAATCAGGTCCAACTGGGATTATCGCCTGTCAAACTGGAAGTGATAAAAATGATTTAAGGTTCCTTTTTGGAAAGAAAGGATTTGCAAGAAGCAAAGCAGGTCATCATAAGATCAAAAGGAATGCAGGCTGCATGAGAAAGGCATTTGGAGGAGACATTCCAGAGATCCTTGCCATTCTGGAGCGGATTTAAAATTCTAATAGAAAGGTTCTGCCTCACTTCGAGTGCATCTACACTGCAGAATTAATGCGGTTGGACGCCACTTGATCCACCATGGAATCATAAAGTGTGGTAACTCTGCAGTGCAGACTTGGCAGCACGCAAGAAATCTCATGCCCATCATTGAATGAGTTTCTAGTAATTTCCTGAGCTATTTTTTCCCCTTTGGTTGGAAATGCCTTTCCCAGAAAAGGGACAGTGCTTTGAACTTCTCAATTTCAGGAACTTTTTAACAATTGCACAATCCAGGAAATAGCTAATTTTCCCCTCCAGCGTCACTTACTTGAGTCAAGAATTAACTCCTATTCAAACCAAGATAAAATCCTGACACTCAGCCATGCGAGGAAGAGTCCCCCAATTGGTCACCTCCAAACAAAAAGTCTTAAGATAGAAATATAAATAGATAGATAGATCTAGCTTGACAACATCCCAATAATACTTCCAAATGGAAATCTTGATTTCACAGTACTACTAATAACAACAATGCTGCTCTGGCAGGTCTCCACTTCTGCCCTCAATGTAAGGAAAATGACTGACCTCAGGCAGCGTTCCACATCGGGGTCTTCTCTGTGATACTGCAGCCCTCCGTGTCGCAAGGCGTCCTCAGGATTGGCAAAAGCCTGGGAAGTAAAAGGAAAAATGACTGCAAGGCAAGACGTAACCCAAAGGACTGAGTTCGAAATGCCACCTCTCTGCCTTCCAGCACAATTGCTGGACCTTTGGGGTCCCTTTCCAAATGCTTTCCAGTACAAAGGTTGATTTAGATGATCTCTCAGATCCCCCTTCAATTGCTTTCCAGGCCAGTATTGGACTAGATGACCTTTGGGATCCCTTTCCAATTGCTTTCCATCCCAAGGATTGGTCTAAATGACCTTTGGGACCCCCTTCAATTGCTTTCCATCCCAAGGGTTGGTCTAGATGACCTTTGGGATCCCTCTCCAGTAGCTTTCCTGCACAAGGGTCGGTCTAGATGACCTTTGGGATCCCTCTCCAGTAGCTTTCCTGCACAAGGGTTGGTGTAGATTACCTCTGGGATTCCTCTTCAATTGCTTTCCAGCCCAAAGGTAGATCTAGATTACCTTTGGTATCCCTTTCCAATTGCTTTCCATCCCAAGAGTTGGTCTAGATGACCTTTGGGATCCCCTTCAATTGCTTTTCAGCCCAAGAGTTGGTCTAGATTACCCCTGGGATCCCTCTCCAGTAGCTTTCCTGCACAAGGGTTGGTCTAGATGATCTCTGGTGTTCCTCTTCAATTGCTTTCCAGCCCAAAGATTGGTCTAGATGACCTTTGGGATCCCTTTCCAATTGATTTCCATCCCAAGAGTTGGTCTATATGACCTTTGGGATCCCTTTCCAATTGCTTTCCAGCCCAAGGGTTGGTCTAGATGACCTTTGGGATCCCTTTCCAATTGCTTTCCTACACAAGGGTTGGTCTAGATGACCTTTAGGATCCCTCTCCAATAGCTTTCCTACACAAGGGTTGGTCTAGATGACCTTTGGGATCCCTTTCCAATTATTATTATTTATAAATAAACCTCAGAGTGGCTTACAAAACAATCAATTTCATACAATTTAAAACTCAAAGATATAAATCTTTAATATAGAGTTAAAGATTGATGTTATTAAGCACAGACGTTCGTCTAGGTGACCTTTGGGGGTCCCTTTCCCCAATAAGACGGTGTGTTGAGATCAGGGTTCGACTCCCCGCTCCGCTTGGAGAGTCACACTCTCTCAGAACCAAGAAGAAAGCAATAGGAAAACATTTCCTGACCAAATCTTGCCCAGAAAAGCCTCCCGGAGGCTATAAATCTTGTCTTTTCATGTCTCAGGAAACACCTAATCGCTCCTCACATCAAGGATGTGGTTTCAGCTCAGGAATGCTCTTATGCCGAAGGAACTACCTGTCATAGCAATTTCAAAATGTCATATATATGAATATGGTATTTTTTCCTCCTTTCCCAACACTGGACCTATCCAAAGCGTAGAAAATTATGCTCTTTATGCCATTTGCAAGGATTTTAAGTACAGATTGTTTTGAAAGGGAAGGGACCCCCAAAGATCATCCAGTCCTACCCTATTTCTGCAAGAAAGGAAGACACAATCCAAACCCTCCTGACAGATGGCCATCCATTTAGTTGAAGACTGCATTATCCCTATTATAAAACTGTTCACCCTCTATTTAAAGACACTATTATTCCTCCTGTCGAAGTAGCCTTTCAAATCTCCTGATTTGGCTTCATGTTGGGATCCCTTAAAGCCATTCAGTCTAACCCTACTTCTGCAGCAAAGAAAGACACCATCCGAACCCTCCCGGAAGATGGCCATCCAGTTAGTTAAAGACACTATCATTCCAATTTTTTAAAACCTTCAAAACAATCTGCTTTAACTTAATGTTGGAAGGGATCCCCAAAGGTCATCCAGTCCAACCCTATTTCTGCAATAAAGAAATACACCATCCAAACCCTCCCAACAAATGGCCATACAGTTATTCCCCTTTTAAAAGCTGCCTTTAAAATGTCCCGAATTGTCTTGAATTGGAAAGAATCACCTGTCCAACTGCGTTATTACAATACAGGAATACACCACCAAAACCCTCCCGACAGATGGACATCCAGTTATTTAAAAGTACTATTATTCCTCTTTTCTAAATTGCCTGATTTGGCTTCATGTTGGAAGGTATCCCTTAATTAAAGCCATCCAGTCTAACCCTACTTCTGAAGCATAGAAAGACACCATCTGAACCCTCCCAACAGATGGCCATCCAGTTATTCCACTTTTAAAAGCTGCCTGGTTAGCCTTGGTGTTGGAAGGGATCCTTTAAAGCTATCTAGTCCAACCCTATTTCTACAATGAAGAAAGTCACCATCCAAACCCTCCCGACAGATGGCCATCCAGTTCTTTAAAGACATTGTTATTCCTCTTTACTAAGGCTTTTACATCTCCTGATTTGGCTTCATGTTGGAAGGGAACCTATTTCTGCAATAAAGAACGACACTGTCCAAACCCTCTTGGTAGATGGCCATCCAGGTCTTTAAAGGCACCGTTATTCCACTTTTAAAAGCTGCCTGGTTGTGCTTAACGTTGGAAAGGGTCCCCAAAGGCCATCCAGCCCAACCCCATTTCTCTTATTAAGACACCAATGGTGTTGGAAGGGGTCCTCAAAGGCCATCCAGTCCAACCCTAATTAATAATAATAATAATAATAATAATAATAATAATAATAATAATAATAATCTTTATTTATACCCCACCACCATCTCCCCAATGGGGACTCGGAGCGGCTTACATGGGGCCAAGCCTGGACAACATATTACAACAAGATAAAACCAGAGCATAAACAATAAACAACATCAAAATTGCATGAAAAAATATATAAATACAGTCATAAAATAACATTCCAATAAGCACAATCACAATAACAATGGGCGGACCACGTGTACAGGATAAAATGATTAAAAGACTCTAATGAGATAAAAATAGGAGCAAGTTACTTGCAGAAAACTCATAAAAGCACACAGAGTTGTGAAGCTAAACTAATTTCCCTAATTAAGACACTGTCCAAAACAGGCCTGGGAAAACTTGGGTATTTTGGGTACTTTGGACTTCAATTCCCACAATTCCTGACAGCCTCAGGCGCTTTTGCTTAAGCTAATGAGGAGGAAAAGGAAAGGGCTTGAGGCTGTTAGGAATTGTGGGAATTGAAGTGCAAAACATTTGGAGGGAAGGCCAAAGTTGGCACATGCCTGGTCCAAACCCTCCCGACAGATGGCCACCCAGTTGTTTAAAAACACCATTATTCCTCTTTCAAAAGTTGTTCCAGTTGGGCTCAATGTC